AGTGCCCCGAAGGAAATAGGGTGGGAGGCCAGGGAAGAAGGAGAAAGTTAGGGTGTTCGTTTATTTATTTATTTATTTATTTATTATTTTCTGTTGCGCGTTGCTCTGCTCGATCAGAAGTTAAAAGCACTGAACATTTTTCTTAGCTGTATGCCTCCAAGCTGCTGGCCTGCCAAGTTAGTCAGCTGAATCCAATTACTGCAAGCAGCATTTCATTTGGCTCGATGGAAGCACTCACTTATAACTTCACCTAAAATTTCAATAATACCTATATTGGTCCCACGCCTGAATAATTCTAAAGATTTCCCTGGGTTCAGCTCTGGGAACGTCTTCTCTGAGCGCTGGGAGACGAGCACAACTCCAGCGTGCCCAGACTCCTCTCTCCACAGTACAAACTTTGGGGGTTATTCCTGTGGCCATGGAAGTCTTGGTATTTGGCCACGCTCTGGCTAAATAAAGCATGTCTAGAGCTAGAAGGCTATCGCTTGTGAGGCTGAGAAGCTGCTTCAGAAAGGGATGAGAAGTCGATAATTAATTAGGCACAAAATGAAAACTTACCGTGTTAATCAACAGCGGCTAACAATGACTCGGTTTGCAATATTATGATCTCTCCGCTCAGGGGCTAAGGTGCAACCCACTTTAGGTTGCCTTCATACACCGTGTAAAGTGCTATTTCTAATGAATTCTCTTTAAAAAAAATAAAGCACTTAAAGTTGACGTACGCCCACGTGAATACATTATATAAGACGTTACCGGGACAGGCCTGGGCCAGGAACCTGAGCGAGCATCATGTGTAATCATGAAGCTCCACTTCCCTAACTCCAGTTTGCCAGCATAAATTAAGGTGATTTGGAAGGGGAATGTAGCATCCTACTGAGTTTGGTTAGGGAGAGAGAAGACTTGGTGGAAAGTTGTAAGATCTGTTGTGGTGTGAGCTATCGGAGGCGCTTCCGTTGGTTGTTCATTAAGTGGTGAGTTATTGCTATACGAGCCAAAGGTCATTTCAAAGGCTTATGGTGGCTAGATATCGTCTTTATAATGACCTAGGCTTCTTTGTGGGGGATTTTCTAGCACTCTTAAGTTCTTAAAGTCCTGAATCGACACATTGCACAGACAAAGGCAAAATACTAATTTCGAGATGCAAATGTTTGCAGCGCATTTTCAATGCTGGGACTTCTTCGCTTGTCTTTCTCTCGGTCTTATTCGGTATCTGGGGGGAGAAATGGAGAGAGACCCGCGCTAGCTTCGTTTCCGCGGAACTCCTCGCGGGCCGTGGGTGCGGGCGGCCGGAGAGGTGCTTGCGACCCTCGAAGGTGCCCGCAGCTGCCCCGCAAAGGCGCTCCCTTTCCCCCGTGCGCTGGCTGGGCTGGCTGCTCGGGAAGGCAGGCATGGGTGTGCGGGGCCCGTCGGAGCGGCTGCCGCAGGCCGCCCTGCCCGGCTCCCACCCGCAACCGGAGCATTTTGCACGTTTGTTTGCTCCCCGCCTCTCTCAAAGCTCTATTAATAAATGAAGAGAAACATCTACCCTTTGTCTGGTAAAAGATCTGACGCGGACGGAAAGACACGGTGAGGGGCTGCGGACGAGATGTGCATTTATTAACAAAGTCCTAAGGAAGAAAGTCCAAAACAAAGCAGTTTCCGCTGAGAGTTATCACTTCTGTTGCAGGTCCGTGTCCACGGATTATCCAAAGGAACCTGAAGATCCTACTCACACAGTTAAAGTCAAAAATCAAGAAAAAACGTAAGTTTGGTGAGTTCTCTAAATTTCCTTTTCCATCCATCTCTCGCTTTCCCTATCGCGACAGGCCCGTCGCAGGGAGCACAGCCCGGCCCCGGCCCTGCCCCGGCCCGTGCCCGCCGAACGGGGAGAGCTGCTCGGCGGAACCCGGGCGGCGGCGGCGCCCCGTCAGATAAAGAGCGGCCCGCAGAAAGCCCCGCTCAAAGCCGCCCCTGCTCCGCGAAGTCGGGCCCGGCTGGGGAGCAGCCAAGGCCCGGACCCAGCCGCGGGAGCGGGTGCATCCCGGGGGGCTCCATAGCTGGTTTAAGAGGCCCCACGGCGGCCACCGCTCCGTGTCTCGCAGGGCCCGTTCGCGCTCCCCAGAGCTCTCAGAGACGGGACATGCCCGGCTCGGGCGCAGCCCCAGCGGTGGGTGCCCGGCTGCCCTGCTTGCGGCCGGGCCCGGCGGCGGCCCCGGCGCTTTCCTTATATACAGGGCTGCCCCGGGCCGGCGGCCGGGAAACGTGCCGAGCGGGGGATTCTTTTGCCGGGCTCCCTCCTACGCGCCGGCTGCTTTGCACTTCTGAAAGTGCCGGGGCTTGGGAAGTGTTTTCCTTTTCATTCCTGGCCGGAGCGTTTACTGCCACGGCGCTAGCAGTCATAAATTTTGCTACAACCGCAATGACAGGTGCATTGATATGCACCCTGAGAGCTCCGGCTGCTTTAATAACCGCTTCGCTGGCCGCTCTCACCGCCTCTTATTTATTCGGTATCATATTAGATATCGATCCGAAGCAGAATTAAGTGTAGTGGAAGTTTTAGTAGAGAACTGCTTAATATGAAAGTGTCGGGAGGAGAGCGGCTGGCAGCGGCGGGCCGGTGTCAGCCTGGGCCAGCCGGGGACGCCGGGGCTCCCAGCTGCTCTCCGGGCACAGCCGTGAGAGGCTCGGCATCCCGCAAAAGCACTGGAACCAGTGGCAGGACAAAAAGTCCCATTATCATGTGCGACGCCTAACAGTTCAGATGAGGTTAACCTTTCTGGAGAGGAAGAAGGGAAATCTGAAACACAGACATGGATACTTTGCGGTTTCCTACCCTGGGTGCCTCCAAGCCCACCTCCCACGGCTCGGCCTCACCATTTGGATGTCACTATTTTTTTTTTTTTTTTTCCCCTGTAGGCTCTTTCTGGCCAAACCACCAAGTGTTGAGCCCCTGCTTTGGTGTTACCTATAAAAACATCACCCCGGGCCTTTTACTCATGGAAAATCAAACCCTGGATAGGTCTCCCTCTCCCTCTTTCTCTCCCTCTCTCTCTTTTTAAGATCTAAAGATGAGCCACCAAACAGTTGAGCATTGTCCATGTGATTTATGGCCCATAGCCTCCTTTTTAGGTTCAAGCAGAGTTCACAAGCAGTTGGTATTTCAGAAAAGAAATAAGGCTTTTAACAGCTTAACAGCAATATTCTTTCTTAAGATTCTGTGTATTCTTTTGGGAACTATATTTCACAAGGCATATAAAAGCCTACGCTTAAGGCAGTGTTGTGCTAACAAAAGTCCTCAGTCCAGACCGGTCCCGAAAATGTAGAAGACAGAAGTGGGAAAAGAGAGACAGAGTTATTTGGACAAAAATACGTCCAAGATTCGTCAAGATTATTGCATCGTATTAAAACTCATTTTTATTGCCACCGTCCATTTCTGCAGACTTTTTAAACAAAAATTTTCCAGGAGAGAAAAACAGTTCCCGTTCTGTCAGCTCCACAGATCATCTCAAGCTTTTGTTTAGGAAAGAAAAGGACCCCGGCGGTCTGTGACACGGGATAAACCGCCGAGAGCGGCTGTGAATCGCAGCTCGCTGAGGTTATTTTCACTTACAGAGATGTGTTTCCCGGTGAATTTTAGAGAACAGATCAACGATATTTGGCGGGACCAACGGTACTTGCGAGAGAAGGAAGAGTACTCTCCTAATATTGCATAAGTATAGGCAGGAGAACTGTAATTGTCGGACATCTTTTAAAGGTTTCTAGCCACTTTTCTCTGGTATATTAGTAGGCTTAAATCCTGCAGAAATACAAGGAAGTATCAAGATATGTTGATTTACAGACTTATATTGTCAGGTGAAGTATGTGCTAATTTACAAAATTACCAAAAGTGTCAGAGAAAACCCCTATCCCACAAGAAAAATAGGAGCAGGGAATATTAAAAAGCCGCACCAAAATTGCAGAACATTTTCCATCTTGTACTAAGCACAGAGAAGTTTTGGGAGCAGCAAGGAGAAAGGTAACAGCACCCTGCCTCAAAACATCTGCCCTAAGGGGACCGTGCGCTTTCGGTGGGAGCAGCCTCATGTGGCAGCCGGGGGGCGGGGAGGGGAGAGCGGTAAGTTTGCAGGCCGAAAAAAGAAAAGAACCCTCTAAAAATTATCTCCAATGTCTCAGGTTCTTTCTATTGGGTACAAATAAAAGGGACGAGAAACGTTGGGTGAGGGAATTTAATTCATTACAGAATTAAAATAGGGGAGCTGACCTGCGACTTCCTTTATAGTGCAAAGTAAAGGGAGTGAATGGCGCCGGTTATACTTTAACTCTGGAGGAATCCGGGGAAAGAAGAAGGGCGGGCTTACAAAGGGGACGGGATTTTTCTGCCTCTGCCCGGCCGCAGCCCGGGCTCCATCCATCATGTCAGCCGTGCAGGGCCGTGCGCACGCGTGCCGGGCGGGGGGCGCGATGCTCTCGGCCGAAATGGGCCACTGGGTCTTTGGGGACACCACCCAGCACAGTTGTCACTGAGAGAGCTTGCCTACAACCCGATCCAGCCAAACTCGAGCGGGAATGGTCCAAAGGCAAAACAAAGCAAATAAAACATCCCCCAAAATGCTTCAAAAGGTGGCCTGTAGGATGTCCCGCCCATGTGCTCCGTTCCCCCCGCACCATGGCTCTCGGGTGGCTCTTTCCCTGCAGTGGTCGGGTCCTTCCCTGGTGTGCTCTGCTCTCTGCTTGGTGTGGCCCAGTTTGCCCTGACTCCTGCCTGGTGACCCTGCTCCTCCCTTTTCGTCCCCTGGTCCTTCTTTGGGTCCCCTGCTCCTTCCTTGATGTCCCCCAGCCCTCCCCTGGATGGGAGGCCGAGGCCGAAGGTGCCGGGGTGCGGGGGGTGCTGGGACCGGCCCGTGCCAGCCACTGCCAGCCGGTTTCCCCCTTTAAAAGTCTTTTTTGTGTCCCTGCTGTTTCCCTGCCCAGGTGGCTGCGAGTGGCCCGGGCCGAGGACGTGAGGCGCGGGGCGGCGGTCAATGTTATTTGAGCGGGGGCCGCGGGCCTCGGCGATCGCAGAGCAGAGGATGCAGAAAGCCGCCTACTACGACAACGCGGGGCTCTTCGGGGGCTACACCTACAGCAAGGCCGACGCCTACCCCTACGGCGCGGCCCACCAGCCCTACGGCCAGGCCGGCCTGGACGGCGAGTACCCCGGCTCCGCCTGCTCCGTCCAGGGCTCGGCGCCCGGCCGCGCTCCGGCCCACAAGGGCAGCGAGCTGAGCGGGAGCTGCATGCGGCCGGGCGGGGGCGGCCCTGGGGGCAGCCAGCCCCCGGGGATCGGCGAGCATCAGCCCCCGGCCCTGCCGCCCTCCTCGCCGCCCAACCCCCCTCCCAGTGTGCCCCCTCCGAAGAAAGCCAAGGGGGGCCCCAACTCCTCGGGCTCGGCCAGCGCCACCCTCAGCAAGCAGATATTTCCTTGGATGAAGGAGTCCCGGCAGAACTCCAAGCAGAAAAGCACCTGCGCCCCCCCAGGTAGCCCAAAACCCCCGCCACGACCCACTGCTCGCCCGGAGAGCAGGGCTGAGTCCCTCGGGCTGAACCCCTCGGGCTGAGCTCCGGCTCCGGGCCTTGTCTGCTACTCCTCTAGCTGCCATCTCCCTCCTATCCCCCCACCCCACCCCGCTGAGGGGTCCCAGCCCTGCCGGGCGCTGCAGGTGGGACAGGCTGGGGGCGGGGTGCTGGGGACGCCTGGTCGGTGTCTCTGGGGGGAGGCAGCTGCGGGAGGGTGTGTATGGGGCAGGGAGGAGGGGGAGGCCGCCCCCGGGCCCTCTGCACCCCCTCCCCGGGCGCCGACAGAGCGAGAGGGTATAGCAGGTTTCCAAGGGACCCCGGGAGGAAGGGGGGGCTGTCTTTCGTGGGGAGAACCAATGTCTCTTTGTGCCTCTTCCCCGCAGGAGAGAGCTGTGAGGACAAGAGCCCCCCCGGGCCGGCCTCCAAGAGGGTGCGAACAGCCTACACGAGCGCGCAGCTGGTGGAGCTGGAGAAGGAGTTTCACTTCAATCGCTACCTGTGCCGGCCGCGCCGCGTGGAGATGGCCAACCTCCTGAACCTGACCGAGCGGCAGATCAAGATCTGGTTCCAGAACCGCCGGATGAAGTACAAAAAGGACCAAAAAGCCAAAGGCATCATGCACTCCCCCGTCGGACAGTCCCCGGACCGCAGCCCCCCTCTAAGCGGCCCAAACCACGTCGGCTACTCCAGCCAGCTCACCGGCGTCAACAGCCTCAGCTACGACGCGCCCTCGCCCACCTCGTTCGCCAAGTCCCAGCAGAGCATGTACGGGCTGGCCGCCTACACGGCGCCGCTCAGCAGCTGCCTGCCGCAGCAGAAGCGCTACGCGGGCGCGGAGTACGACCCCCACCCCATGCAGAGCGGCGGCGGCGGCTTCGCCAACCCCAGCCTGCAGGGCAGCCCCGTCTACGTGGGGGGCAACTTCGTGGACTCCATGCCGGCCTCGGGCCCCATGTTCAACCTGGGGCACCTGCAGCACCCCTCCTCCGCCAGCGTGGACTACAGCTGCGCCGCCCAGATCCCCGGCGGCCACCACCACGGACCTTGCGACCCCCACCCTACCTACACGGACCTTTCCTCTCACCACACCTCTCAGGGACGGATGCAGGAGGCGCCCAAGCTCACGCATCTGTAGCGGGGCGGCGGCCAGCGGGCCCCGCTCCCCTCTCCATTACCTCACTTTTCTGACGGGACAGTGTTACTGTGCTCTCGAGTGCCAACAGTATTAGTGGATTTGTCTCCCTTAGCAGCTCCCTTCTTTCTTCCGCAGCCCCGAGTAGGTCCGTGAGCAGGAGCCTTTCTCTTAGAGCTGTTTTAAGCATGACAGTGCAATATACTGCCAACCGAGGGACTGATAAGCTGGTAATGATGTACTTGAAGGTAAGTCTTAGAGATGCTGTAGTGTTAGCAGCGCGTCATGCTGAGGTGTTTTAGACCAGTCGTGAGCCGTCGGAACTCGCCCGCGCGTAAGCTTATTTCAGAGAAGTTAATTTATGAGTTCTTCCGTAACGTAAGGATCGCATTGGACTAAATGATATGTATTTATTATTTTAAGCGAGACATTTTTTGTATCACTGATTATTTATCCTCGTCTTAATGTATTTATGTGGGTATTTGTAGAGTTTCTTCACCAATACTTCGGGAGAGGGATTCAGGTCCGTGGTGACTTACGTTTCACCTATTTAGTATAATCGGTCTGAGCTAGTTGAGAGAGTAGTCTTGAACAGTTGTAACAGTGGCTGGTGTTTGTAGTTTATGTAAGGATTAATTAAGACAGCAAGTCGTAAATCATTAATAGAGTAAAACAAACTGTGGCATCACACAAAGAGCCGTTACACTTTAAAAAAATATTGAAAGTATTTTTAAAGTATTTATTTCTAATCGGCTGGCCCCACTCGAGCGCCTCGGTGGCTTGGCCGGCAGCTGGCTCGGCCGCGTGAAGCCACCTTTAGATGGAGGCGCAGCCGCTTTGAGGAGGCGATCTACAAAGAGGGGCTCTTGGCCATCTTGTTTCAGATCAAATCCTGCATATAAAAACCTCGGTGAGGTTAACATTTATTTATTGGCTGGATATGTATAGCGCATATTATTTCGGTGGGCTGTTTTCTTTTCTTTTTTTTTTTCTTTTTTTTTTTTAATTACACTCTGGCTATCCAAAATAGAAAAGAAATTAGAAGCTTAGAAGGCAAAAAAATTAGAAACCCTCTGATAGTGCTAATTTCATTAGGGTCTCCATAGCAATCTGTGCAGCAGCTGCCACCTCCTTTGTTATTTTTATACTGTTGTCTTTTACTAACCATAAATCAATTTTTAGACATCTTTGGAGGGCCGAGCTTTTCCTCTTGGTTTGTTTGTTTTTTTGTTTTTTTTTTTTCATAAATGTAAATTTTGAAAGAAAATTGACAATCAGATACACACAGCCGAAGGGAGACGCTGAGACGGGGCGCGGGCAGGGGCTGGGCGGTGCCGCCGCGCTCCCCCGGTGCCCGGCAAGGACAGTCCCACCCGGCCTGACCGCGGCAGCGGGCACCGCCACCTCCCCCTGCCACCAACAGGACAGTTAACACGGGGAAGGAAAAAATAAAGTAACGAGAAGATTAAAAAATAGGAAAAAGAAAGGGAACGGTGCTCTGAACCCTCGTGTTTCCTCCTCTCTAGTTACACGGCTGTATTGAACTCGCTGGATTTACAGAGATACTTCTTTTGTAAACGCTGTGATTAAAGTCTCTTCCTGACAGTACATATTGCTCTGAGAAGACTATTCTTGTCTCTTTCTAAAAGTGTCGAGTTAAATATTAATCCAAACTTCTATATTCCCCACCAAAGCTTCTGATGCATCGCTTTCCAGTTTGACAAACACTGCAGCTCCTACTCCATCCTCTAATGACAGACCTGGCATTCCTATTGTGAGAAATATTTTGCCACCTCCCATTCTGGTCAAGACAGAGAAGTTTTATTTATTCTTCTTTTCTTTCCCATCCCTGCTTTCTTCCTTGCCATTTGGTATTTTTGTTCAGCTGAGCACTAATGATTCAAAATATTACTTAGGGTTTTGTTTTCCCCTCTGTGAGGTTTCAACAATGCTGTGCTACAGTGAAAAGTGTATCTTTTGTTAAATTCCACTTTTAACCAAGCAAATTTGGATATATGTGTTACAGATCTGTAAACAAAACAGAACAGAATAAAATTCTTTGTTTGGAGACATATTTTAACCCTTTTAAGCCATAAAATTGTATTCTATGGAAGCACCACCCAGGAGTAAATAAAACATACAAACAACACAAAAAGTAATGCTAGACACCACTTGTGATTTATACTTCTGTAATATGCCATAAATATATACATATGTTTGTCTCTCCAAAACTTTCTGCCATCAGTGTGCCCACAAACAAAATTCTCCATGTAGGTTTTTTTGTGTGTTCTTGAAACACCATATATTTTGCTTCACCTGCTTCTATCTGTGAAACAGCAAGGCACCACCATTTCTGCAGGACACCCAGTGTCCTTCTCCCTTTTGCTTTGTGCTCTGTAGGCTGTTAGTCAAACACTGTCTGCCCTGACTTACACTATTAGTCCTTCATTAAGTCCTTACACTATTAGTCCTTCATTAAATCTGGTAAGAAAGAAAAGGCTGTTTAGAGATCTGGGGAAGGAAGGGAGTTCAGAGGAGCCCTGACCACAAACACGGTGTTACTGAGGCCCACTGCCCTGAATTCCTTTCATGTTGCAGGAAGACAGGGCCAGCAGCCATGGTTTCCAGGGGGGGAGGAGGAGCTTGTGTGAGGGAGAATCTTCTTGTAAATAAACTCACTTTCTTCTCCGTGACTCTGGCAGAGGTGTCTTCTTTGTAATGCAGTAGAAGTCCATGATGATAACCTAATTATTAGAAGTAATGTAACTTTAGCAAGATTGCTGGCATTTTTACAATGTTTGTACAAGCATCAGCAATCTAGAGGAGAGATACTCTTTGGCACAAGCCAGACTTTTTCTTGGCCCATCGTTTAAAACCCATAAATTATAAACAACCCCCTTTTACACTCATCAGGAGCTCAGCTCCTTTGCAAGAGCATCTGATGTGATGAACTCCAGTCACCTATTTAAAACACAACTAGTCAGCCAAGGCCAGGCCTGGGTCTGATCTTCCCTTTGCCTTTCTTTACAAATAGAAGGCACAGCACCCTTCCTCTCCTTCCCTGCTCCCTCCATCTGCTCCAGACCCATAAAAGGGTCAGTGAGCCAGGCCCTCTAAATGCTGGCAGTGATGTTGCACTATTTGGGATAGGCAGCTGCTGAGAGCACTGGCTGAGAGGTGTCAGGGGTGCACGGAGCTTCAGTGAGGCCATGCAAGTTATTTTGTTCAGACCAGTGGGGTTTGGGTCTCCACTTTCTGGTTTGGCCTTTACAGTAACCCACCATTTAATGGCATTCCAGCAGTTTCCCCAGTGCAAAAAGGAGCTGAGGCTTTGTGTTATCTCCATGCAGTGAGTGCAGGGCTGAGCCACCCTTTTGCATCCTGTTTCTTTTGGAGGAGGGGCCCATCAGTGTCCCACTGTGCATGGCCTGGTTAGCAGCACCAGGGCAGGGGACCCTAGACAGCCACAGCCAGGGGCTTCCAGGGATGCCACAGTTTTGTAGGTGCCACTTGTGTTTGGCTGGAAAAACAAAGCCAAATGCCTCCTGCTCCATTAGCAAGTGCTTCCTGAGCAGACACTGCAGGCTCCCAGCCCTGCTCCATGGGCAGGCCAGGGACTCAGGGGCACCCCCATGGCTTCCACTATGCGACCACACCAGGGTCATTTGGGGCTGCAGGCAACCTTGTCCAAAGATGAAGAGGATGCAGCTGGCTGCACACCCAGGAGGCAAGGGAATGCAGGGAGAAGGCTGGCTAAGAAAGGGGAGCCCACCAACATCAACTAGAAGTCCCCTGACTTTCTTGAGGGCCAGCTGTGTCTTTTGGGCTCCATGGCAAAAAGTCTGAAGGCAGGATCCACCACTGGGGTGTCTGCACCCCTCCAGCCGCATGGGAAGCCCTTTGAAAGAGCCTGCAGGGACATCCAGGCACTAAAAGGACTACTTCACCAGGGGAAAAAACAGGGTAAAGGGGATGGGGCTGCTGGTCTACCTCTGGGAGGGTGCCTTGCTGATAGCTGTCAGCTGAGGAGAGAGGAAAGGAGCTGCAGGTTGTGATGCCATCTTCTACATGCCAGCCTGCTGTGCGTGCCCAGTGCCACACACCGTGGCAGCCTGGCAAAGGCACAGTGTGCTGCACGGTGGGCAGGCCCAGGTGTCCAGCACTGCACTGCACACCTGCCTGGCAACACAGGCTGGAGCTGGGTGGGCAGCACACAGCACAGGGGCTGGTGCTGCCAGGGCAGTTAGGGCCGTGGTGGTGGCTGGGTGTCATGTCATCTTATACACTGATGAACAACATACCTCTGCTTTTGAAAGGTGCAAGGTAAGCTGGGCCAGAGGTCTGTTGGCTGCAGCCACTTTCCAGGGATTGAATGGCAAGTTAATCCCTGAATGGGCAATGGCTCTCTGCTCCCACGTGAGAGGCAGCAGTGGGTACCCCGTGCTGCTTGCTTAGAGTGGGGCTGCCAGGGGAGTGACAGGGCTGGCTCTATTAAGGGTCAGCAATCACACCAAGAGCACTTTTTACTCGACAGTGGGTCCTCCTACTTCTGCTTGGACCTGAGCCAGCTGGGACTGGAGCAGAAACCCCATCCAGCAGAAGCAGAACACAGTTCCAGAGCCTGAGAGCCATGGAGTAACAGGGCGGGACTGAACCCCTTTGGTCACATAGGCTAAGACACAAAATGGGACTCAGTGAGGTACCTGTGCCTGCACATCCCTAAGCCTCTGCAGATGCTGCTCAGGAGCAGAGGTGAGTCTTTGTCTCTCCTTTTGGAGCCCAGGGTCCTGAAGCTTTCAGAACGTTCTGGGATGAATTACAGAAAGGCTCAGCTGCAATGACAATAAGCACAAAGCAGAGTGAAAACAGCAAGGAATTTATACTAGACAGGATGGACGTCTTCTGGATAAAAATACTCATGAATGTAGGATTTGAACACTTCAATTTTTATTTGCTGACATGCAGTTTTTTTGCAACAGCTGAAGTTTTGGGACCGGTAGGCAATCCTGTGCTCATTGAGGTACACAGCCTCAATCTTTCCTCTAAGAAACATTTTAGGATCTTTGGGAGCAAGAAAGGCAAGAGAAGACAGAAATCTTGGCTGCAAACTCATTGACACCCATTTTGCACACAGCAGCATGGCTTACCTTGACACCTCTGGGTTATCAAGATGTGTAATATTTCTGTCCCAACAAATTCACAGCCATGGGACTGGAAACAGGGCTTTACATGGCAAGGGGCCAGCGTGGAATCACTCTCCAGAGCAAATCTTTACAGAAGAAGGGATAGACTACCCTCTTCTCTGTGTTCATATAGAGGATCTTTGTTGTTAATCTCACATATTGGGAAAACAGAGGTTCCTGTCCCAGGAGTCAACCGGGAAAGAGGAACTGGTGGCAGGGATACATTGATGGCAGAGGGAAACACCCCTTCCTGAGGGTTGCTGTGGCTGCCTGTGCTAGTGCAGGAGCTGAGGACGGCTTCCCTAGAGTGCCAGCACAACTCCCCATCTCTGCCCTGAAGTGTCTGTTCATCCCTGGGTATATTCCCATTTTACAAAATAAACTCCCAAAAGCTTCCCCTCCTTCTGTAACAGCCTTTCTCACAGGAGCCTTTAGTGGTTTGTTTGAGCTAACAGGGCCACTCCTTAAATTCCCAGTATTTGCTTATCTCCCCTGAGGATGCCCATCCCCACCCTAGCTGTCTCCACAACATGGATGTACATCCCCCTTAGCACTGAGAAGCAGCTTTGCCCAGCTGGCACTGCTGCAGCAGCAGCAGAGGGGTAAGGACAAGGTAATGCACACCTTCCAGGCTGGGGGCTGGGGAGGGATCTCTTGGATCTCCTGGGGGTCAGCTACAAGCACAGAGGGTGGGCTCCTGCTCTAGGGAGACAGGCCACATGTCCCAGCCTCAAAGCAGTGTCTGTGGCTCAGGCTGCCATTGTCTTCAACACAGGCTGCTCAAGCAGCCTCCCTAGGGTGAGGGGCTGGTGTCTGCACCCAACGGGACTCAGGGCTTTTGGCTGGACTTGCTCCTACATCATGTCTGGGCTCCACAGTGGCTTTCTCAGGCTTTGTAGAGGCCCACATACTCCCAGAAACACAGTGACACAAGGACTCATTTGGTCCATTGTTGTTACAGAGTTTTTGCCCCAGCAGGTCCCCTGTCTTGCCATCACTTGACTACTCACACAGGCATCCCTAAACCTCCCAGCCATTCTCAAATTGTCTCTGACAGCACCATGTTCTTCACATTCTTTTTTCCCCCACTTTTCTTCTTCCTTCTTTTGGCATCCAACGAGTCCTTCATCTTTCCCATTAGACTCCTTGTAAAAAAACCAGCTTCAGTCACTCTATTCTCTATCACTGGAAGTTAACTTTTTAAGTCTGAATACTGAAATTCCTGCATGTAGATAAAGCCCTCCCTCAGAAGCCAGAATATCAACAAGAGATGTTTGTCCTGTATTTAGCCACTGATTTCTGCTTTTGTCACCCTTGAACAGTCCTGCCAAAACAAACAGGTAATGAACAGGAAACTCGTAACAGCATCCAGCTGGGTAAATGGAAAGATCGTATGTTGGTGTGAACACAGACAGCTTTTCTAGCATTTAGAACAGTCTTAGGTGTAATTAAACCAGTTGCATTCTGCAAACACAAGACCCAAATAAAGCAGCAGCCCTGTTCTGAAGCCAATTTTCTTTCCTTCACTGCAGGCAGGAATTTTTACAGCAGAGGAGACTGAAGAGCGCAGGTGCTCTGCTGCATGGACAGCCATGCTCTGCTAAAGAGAAAACCTGGTGTTCCCAGGCTTCTGATTTTTCAGAAGATAATGCTTTCCAAACTGCTCTGATTGCCATGGGAATGCTGAGAAAGTTTGCATCATCCAGAATTTAACCCCTTCCTCCAAATGTGTGTTTCCTGACAAAGTGTATTTGATTTAAACTGTTCTTCTGATTTATACTTGCACCCCCTGAAAATAGAAATTTAGGTGATACTCTATTATTGGAGTATAAGGGCAGCACAGCCCATCAGAGTGAACAAGTCTGTGCCAGAACACCAAGTGTCAGGACTCTGAGATTTCAGTGACTGCTGTGTCTGTAGACTTGAAGTTCAAGCACCCTTAAGACATAATCTGTACAAAGCCAGCCTTTGCTCTACAAGAGTTGGTTTATAGTAGATGAACAATATTAGCTGGGGAGAAAGAGGGGCTGATAGGAGGCCATGTCACTGATCAGAGTCCTTGTGCAGGGAAATGCTCCTGCACCTCTGCAGGATGTGCATGCCTGTCCTAGCAATGTGTCCTCTCTGGGCCCCTGCAGGAAAAACCCACCAGATCTGCTCTGAATTCATCAGCTGGGCATAATGGTGGAGCTGAACTGCAGAGCACAATCTCCATGGAAAGAGTTGATACTGAGTCAGTGAAATGGTCTGATTATGTCACCCCATTATATCCTTTTCCTGTCACCAGTCTGGCCCTCTGAAATCCACAGGGGATCCAGAGAAATGTTTCCTTCTCTGGGAATTCTGGTTGCCTTCATGACGTTGGCATCATGCTTGGTCCTTGCAAAATTTGTGGCCTCTTCCTGACCACAGCAAATGGCACTTTTGCCAAGAGCTTGTAGAGCTTCTTGAGCTGTTGAGTGGAAGGCACTGGATGATGGATGAAGACATACAAATTTCATGCTTTTGTTTAGAAATAAAATATATTTTTAAATAAAGTACAACCCTTGCATTTCCCAGCTGACTCCACATCCACCTACTAAGAATTAGAAGGTTGCAAGTCTAATTCAAAGCAGCATGATGTAGCCCTTCTTCATGTTCTTTGTAGGTCCAGTCCCAAGTCACCAAAGCCCAGGTGTACTCTGCCCAGCACACCCTTCTGCTCTTCTGAACTGCACTGACACATGGTTATCGGCTGAGACATTGGATGAAACCGATCATTACCCAAATCAAACATCAGCGTGGCTCAGACTGGATGGTCAAATGTCACTTGGAGACGTTTAGGGAAAGATGATCACTTCGGGAGTCCAGATTTCACCTCCTTCACCTTGTTGCTGTTTCCTGCCATTCTGGGGGATTGAAAACCAAGAGAGAGTTGGACGATTTGGCTGGGTAGAGCAACTTGCTGCTCTCTGCCAGCTGTAAACACTCAGTAAACAATGCCGAATCGCCAAGGGAAAAATAAAAGTCCATTAACGGTGTGAGCCTGCTAACGGTGAGGAGATTCATTTTTGAGAGGCTGCAGAGCACTTATCTGATGGAACGAGACCATTAAGCGCCATGAGGTGCAGCAGCACCCCGCCCCTCGCCCCAGCCTCCGGGTGGGGAGGCCGGGCTGTGCCCGCGTGGGCTCCCGTGGGGGCCCCCAGGAGTCTGGCCGGCTGCAGGGCAAGGGAGAGCGCAGACGGGCGCCCGGATAGCGGGAAAGCGCCAGCTCGCTCACCTTCGAAACTCCCGGCAAACGTCCCAAGTGTGCGGAGACTCCGTCGAGCCCAGGGGGACGGCCTGTCCCGAGGGAATCCCGGTGCGGCGCGGCAGGATTGCCCACCTGCAGCCCCGCTCCAGCCCCGGCAGCCGGCCGCGGGCAGGTGAGCTGGGGGCGCCCGGGACCCTCGGCTCGGGCTCGCCCCTCCGGGCTCCCATTGGCCGCGGGGCGGGACGTGCCCCGCTCCAGGGCCTATATTAGGGCAATATTGCCCCGGCGGGGCGCGGTGCTGCCCCGTGGGTCATGGAGCTGGGGTACTTTGCTCTCGCCTTTCCGCCGGGGCTGTGCCGCGGTGCCCCGCAGGCCCCGTACCCCCAGCGAGGGGACGGCGCCTTCCTGGCGCTGGGCACCACGGCCAGCGCCGCGTCCCCGCCGCAGGCATTGGGCTACGCGGCCGCTGCCCCGGCGGCGCTGGGGCCCGGCTGCCGCCCGTCCCGGGGAGCCGGACCGCCGGCCTACGCCACGTCCATCCCTCCCGGGAGCGGCCGCTCGCCGCCGCCCGACCCCGAGCGCCCCTGCCCCTGCCTGGGCGCGGGCGGCGGGGGGCTCCGGCACCTCTCGCCCTGCCCCGGGGCCGCCCCCGCGCCCGGCTGCCCGGCTCCCGCGGCGGCCCCGGCGGCGCCCCGCACCTTCGAGTGGATGCGAGCGAAGCGGAGCCCGCCCGGGAGAAGTGAGTGGGGCGGCGGGGAGCGGGCGGGGGCTGCTCCCATCCCGGCTCCCGTCTGCCCTTCTCCTGCCTCCACCCCCTGCCTTTGCCCCGGCTGAAGCGCGGTGTTTTTCGGCGTTGCAGGCGGCGCGGCGCCGTGCGGGGGGGAAGCGCCCGCCTGCTCCGCACGCACCAGCTTCAGCACCCGGCAGCTCACGGAGCTGGAGAAGGAGTTTCACTTCAGCCGGTACCTGTCGCGGGCCCGCCGCCTCGAGGTGGCCCGCTCGCTGCGCCTCCGCGACGCCCAGGTGAAGGTCTGGTTCCAGAACCGCCGCATGAAGCAGAAGAAGCGGGAGCGGGAGGCGCTGGCCGCCCCCGCCGCCGCTGTCCCGCGCGGCCCCTCCTGAGGCTCCGCCGCTCCCACGGAGGGAGCCGGGGGACGTCGGGGCTGGGCGGGAAGCTGCTTTTTCTGTTGCAACTTTATGTACAGTTTTATTTATGAGGATTCAGGGAAAACCGCCGGCCCGGAGCGCCGCTGCTCGGGGTCGGAGCGGGCCGAGGCAGCGGGCGGATGCAGACGGGAGTTAGCGGAGAGCGCCGCTCCCCCAAGGCAGCGCAGCGAACGGCTCTGCCAACTGCCCCGGGTTCGGGCGGAGGTGGGTGCGTGGAGGGGCTGCCCCATGCTCCCGAGCCTTTCTCCGTTTTGCATTTAAAATACAGATCCATGGGCTCAGACAGCGTTGGTACAGAAGGGGAGACACCCCGAGAAGGCAGAGCAGAGAACAGGGAAACTTCCTCTTAGAGGAAGGGTCAGGGATGGTCATGGCATGAATCCAAGATCCCCCTTTGAAAGAAGTGTCCTTGTCTTCTGCCCTGCCCTTTGCAAAATTGCTGCAAAAAAGAGGCTGGTTTTGCTTGTATTCATTCATTCATTCATTCATTCATTCATTCATTCATCCATTCCTATTTATTTTCCTGATGTGACTGATTTAGTAAAAAGTCTGTTTTTGACAGAAAAAACTGCGAGGTAAAATGTAAAAAGAAATAAAGTCTTAAGAGGAGCAACTGTTCCCTTTTGAACTGCAGAGGTGCTGGGATTTCCCTCGCAGAGTCTCTGGGCAGCCCAGGATGGGCCAATGGCCATTTTGCTGACTCCCAGCTCCCCTCACATGTCCGCAGACAATATAAAGCCTTTTGCAGCATCTAAGGCCAGAATCAGTTCATTTAGCCCTCTCAGTCTTCATTGTATCTCATGGTTAAAAAATTGCATCGTTATAAATCTGTTTGCAACAAATCTCACCACATGCAAAACCTCAAGACCTGTTGAAGCTCAGAAAGACGCTTGGATTTGACCAAAGACTAATTCTGGCAAAAGGCCAAAGGATTCCTGGGTCTTTTGCTTGGATTGCTGCATAGAAAAGACTGGCAATATTCCCATAGATAAAATAACAGTATCAAAGTGGGCAAAGGAACCAAGCTTAGACTTTTTTCCCATTTCTGCGTGGGAAAGCAAAACAGCAATGTGGAGAGGAATCACATCTGGATTTACATGAAGGTAATTTTATTTATTTGTGGACAGGACTTTTGTTTTGGACAAGCCTCTTTCTGCCCTGGATTTCTGCTGAGTGTTGGACTTTGGGGTGAAAACCCAATTATGGGACTAGGGGAGACAGACTTCAAGGAGACCTGTGGAATGCACTGGGTCCCTGTCTGGAAGCCAGCCCCAGACACCAACAACTATTTGTCTTTGTTGGATGCTTGCTGGGTAAAACGACCACAGAGGGAAGATGAAGATGGATGTCTCAAGTCCAAAAGTCAGCAATGAAGAAGATTCTTACTCTCTGTAATACTTTCCATCCCCCCAGGTGCCCTTCTGCTTAAGACTTTCTTCTGAAGATTCTGCTGAGGGACTGAGAAGCCACTGCTCATGGAAGCTTCAGCAGAGGTTGGTGGGAACCTTGGGAAGCTACTCCCAAAAGCTGGGCAGGCAAGTTATGATGATGTTGTGGCAACAAGTCCATGGCTAAACAGGGCAAGGAGCCTCCTAGGCAAGGAGATGGATGTTCCCCATAGTGAGCATCCAAAGGAAGGGACTTCCCAAGACAGAGGAGTTGTCACACATCATATCCTGACTGTACCAGCAAAGGACAACACTGCTAGAGGCTCATGGTTGTGCATGCACAGAGGTACATTTTTGTTCTGTACATAGAGTTGTGGTTCATGTCCCTTGGGCTGCTTCACTTCATGGCATAGCCCTAAAAATTCCCAGGACTGAAGTACTCGTGTGAAACTAGCTGCAACCAAAATGTGTGGTTTGCAGTTCTTCATTAAAGTAATGACACCAAACAAGTGTTTATACTGCAGGCTGATCATTCATTAAAAACCAGGAAATAATATTTCTCCCACCTTTTTTTATTTTTTTGAAGGTGCTACTTAAAGCAGAATAAAGCAAAATCTGGTAAAATTAATGAAAATTTGAATAAATCAAATTTGTTTTGCAAGTTGAATTTTAAAGGCAAGTACACTACTAACCAGCTCTTTTCTGCAGCTGTTTTAAAGGTCCATTTTTATGAACTACTCTGTTATTACTCTTCCATTTGTTTTTTTTTTAATAGTACAAGTGAGCATCGACATACAGCTGGAATAACCCATTTTTCTCAGAACACATTTCACATACAAACTTTAGAAAACAGCTGTATTTTCAGTTGCCTCCAAATTTGTTGCATGTCTATGGGGTTGCTTGTTTGTCAGCCTTTTATTTTCCTAATGATTTTGACATTTGTGCCAGGCACTTCAGGCCAGAGGAGTGCTTTCTGTACTGCTGGCACACTCCTGCACTACCAGCATGGAAAGAAAGACTCTCATTGATTTCATGGTGCTGGATCAGACAATTAGAGCACACTAAGTCTTTTACAATGAATGTTTTTGTGACATATATTTTCCTGAATAAATAAATACATGTCCCGGCCTTGTAGCAGTGCACAGTTCTGTATCCATCAAAATGACACAGACCAGAGATTTACTCCAAAATTAAGATGAAACCTTATGACTCTCTTATGGCAGTCTGAATTTGGTGGTATGAGCACAACTATATTCTGTCTTAAGAACCAGTACTTTGTATTAATTGATTTCTGCTCACATGACAGGACCAGTTTAATAGGATCCTTCTCTTCACAAACAGTTCTAGCTGTATGAGGATTAGATATTGCTCCTTTGCACTATTCTGTCAGCAAGCTACCCAAAGGAAGGAGCTAATGCTAGTCACATGCCAATTCTTAAATAATTAAATAAAAATGCCTATGATACCTGTGGGTGCACACATGAGACAAATAAATGATAGATAAGGTCTAAGATTCACTCACTTAAACTTAATCCCAAGAGTCTCACACATGCCCAATTTGATGCCTAGCAGTTGGAAACAAGTTTTAGATTTGGCAGCTAGTTGTAAGAGCACAAGCCGCAGTTTTCACTGCAATCGGAACACAGTATTCCAGACTGGACTCAATAGATACTCACCACCATATAATTTTTCACAAATTATGAAACCACTATTTCCTGGCTTTATTTTTCCTCAGCCATCATCAGAAACCACAGAAAGACCATTCTCTCTCAGTCATATATTAATTTTTGCCTACTGACTGTTGCTCAAAGGGCCCCAGGCTACAAAGGGATATGAACAAAGTAATTTTTTATGTGTTCCCATTTTGCCTCAAACAGAACAAAAATATTGATTTGGAAGGCTTCCAAGAGGAAAAAAAGTTGTAAAATTACTGTTCCTAAGTGGTATATGTGAATGTAGAGATTTAATATCTTTTGGATAGGTAAATGATAACAGAAGAATGGACCTCTTTGAAAACCAAGTTTAGGCAAGAACCCAGGCTTGCCTGGGTATCTGTCTTCCCAAGAGGACCAGATTTAGTATGTTACTGCCTGGAATTACAGCACAGGGAACACTTTGCTGAGGGTCAAACCAATGACTCTGTTTTATGCTATGAGCTGCATATCCAGGTTTATTTTGACCATGCAAGTAGTCAGCAGTAAGCTAGAAAACAAAAATACGCAACCCAACCTCCACATTTTAATCTCCTTTTGAAAGTGTCCCTCTCCATTATTTATCGGTACAACCCGGAACTGTGGTTTATGCAAATAATGGTACAGATTGCTAGCAGAGGAAAACAGACTATTATTTCTTCTAAGAAAAATCTTTGCAGACAAAATTACAAATTGCAAACACCTCCTTGGAGTTCCAAGAACTTGTCTCCAGCAGCTAAGAAATCATACTTATGATTTGTCCTGCACCACACTGTTAGCCTAAGCACCAAGGAAGCCCCAAGAATGCTTGCAAATCCCTGACAACTGAAGAGAAATAGGTATGGAGAGAAATCCCAGATGAGACATGGCTGTTACCAGTTTGTCATTAAGAGGTGACTGAAGTTTAGGGGACACACATTCTGTTCTATTTGCAATATATGGTTACATACAGCTATGTGTTTATGTGATTCACTCAATCTCAATCTTGTTTATTTATAACTTTTCCTAATGTCAGTGAACTAAGGAATCTTTGGCAAAGGAAAGTCACCCTGATAAAGGAAGGTGAACCAAATGACAAATCATTCTTCTTCCTATCATAACAATATCTGTTATTCACATGTCTACTTAACCACATCTCTAAAATGCCCCCAAATAATTCTGGGAAATATGTAGGGAAAAGAAGCTTCACAGAGCCAATGTCTTACTGTAGTTTAGCTTTATCTGGAAGTCTTTTGCTGTTCTTGATCATCAGCCAAGTGAACAAAGTAACCCTCAGCTGTAAATCTTCCTTGGCTGTTTAAGCCAATTTACTCTTACATAGAGTGTTAAAATCTCTGCTGGAGATACAGTCCTGAGAACTTTTTGTAAACTGGACAAGGCTTCCTTTATACTGAAAAAATTTAGACCGCTGGTCCATGAAAGAGCTTTTCATAAACAATTTTGGTACTCTTGTGTTTTTGTTTCTTCAAAAGACAACAGCCACTGGTGATTAGCAGATTGAAAACCACTAGTTTAAGTAAACAAACAAACACAGGAATAAATCCAGTCAGTTTCTTTTCTACTAGCCTAGCAGACTTTGCACCACCTGGAAAATAGATCTTTTTTACTATGCTTCACCAGAAAGCATAATGCTGCAAATAATAGCTCAAAAAATGTTCATTTTGTTCTGAAAAATATGGCATTTTTAAGCAGGATGGTGTATCATGCCTTATGAAAGTGTTTAACAGGTCTAACTCAATCAGTTTGGCCTATGGCCCTAACATTAGAGTGAGACCCCTACACTGCCAGCACGGGGGACACTCTAACCTGGGTTAGAGAGAACAAGGACCTCAGCAATGCATCAATCCATGCTGCTGTGGGTGAGCATAAAATGCCA